ATATAATGATAAAAATGAATCTTTCCAAAAATCAAGGAAAAGGGTAAACAAGTCAGATAGTAGGACTAATAATTGACTCTGTTCTTAGGAAGTGTAACGCCCAATAGTGTTTAAGTTTGAATTACCTTTGAGAATATTCTCTTTGCTTTAAAACTTTATACAAATTACTTTTCATTCATTTTACTTGCTGTTGATTAACTGTAGCAACTCACAAATTACTTTTCTTTTAGTGCAGAGACAAAGACAGCAACAGGCAGTAAACAAACATGATCTTGAACATCAATCTACGACAGAAGTACTTGTGGAGCTATCTTTGTGTAAACATAATTGATAACTAAGATTACAGTGGACATGGGATTTGTGATTATTTGGCTAAGCCTGATCATTACACCACTAGCTTCCACTCAAATGTTTTTCCCTCATTCAACACTGTATTAAAAAAAAAAAAAATCTATTTCTTTCACTTTATTTCACTTAGTGCTAGCAAATAAAGTTTCTTCTCATAATGTCAAGAAATTTCTTGCCTTTTGTCTCATTTTAACAAAACTGCATCCCTCCCTCCCTCCTTTCTCTTGCCTATTTCCGAAATTAATACAGAGGAGATCAACAGTCTCCTCCAAGAAGGCTGCCAATAACCTCAGTGGCATGCTATTCATTTCTATTTTTTTTAAAACTAATTATATACTTATATACTTAAACAAGGATGATTTTTCTATATTCATATTAACCCATTCGCCACGGAATTTTTCGCTCGACGCTGAACCCCGCTCACGGGAATAGTTGCCAGCCGCGTGGGCCACCGCCACGGGATTTTTTCTGGCGCGGTGCGGCTACGCAAAGACCATCATATCAATTTTGCAGTAATCTGTCCATAGATCTTGTAGTAAAGTTGGGTTTTATATAAAGGTAATGTGTAGAAATTGCACTTTTCTCATGGTGTTTTCTAGGCACTCTTTCGCCTTTGCAATTAGGAGAAATACTGAATCGCTTCCAAGTTGCCTATATTTACAGATGACATGAACCCTTTGAGGCTAAAAGTTAGTGTTGTTTTTGAACGATATGGCAAACTATGGCCAAATATCATTTTGATGCTCAGAAGTAGTGCATTGTCCATATGAGAGATCAAATGTTTTTTTTAATTTCTTTCAACAGAAAAGGAAAAAAAGCAGAAGTGAATGTAGCTTCACTTTGATGCTCAAAAATAGCTTTGTATTGATATGAGAGGTTATACTGTGTAAGTTTAGTTGTCTATATCAACAGATGACATGAGCTTCACTTTGATGCTCAAAAATAGCTTTGTATTGATATGAGAGGTTATACTGTGTAAGTTTAGTTGTCTATATCAACAGATGACATGACACTTTGATGCTAAAAGTTAGTGGTTTTGAACGAGATGTCAAACTATGGACTTAGCCGTTTTTTCGTTTTTTTCAAACTTTCAAATGAAGCAAAATATGAAGCTCAGCAGCAAGCCAAATATCATTTTGATGCTCAGAAGTAGTGCATTGTCCATATGAGAGATCAAACCATGTTTTTTTTTACTTCTTTCAACAGAAAAGGAAGAAAAGCAGAAGTGAATGTAGCTTCACTTTGATGCTCAAAAATAGCTTTGTATTGATATGAGAGGTTATACTGTGTAAGTTTAGTGTTTTTTTTTCTTTCGTACTAGACTTGTAAGAGAGAATTTAGCTTATTTATGAATGATAAAAGTTGCTGTTTTTTATATAAGAGGTCAGAATGTGGACTTTTCTGCCATTTTCAATTACAAAAAGAACAAGAAACAGAATTGTACCCATCACCATTTTTATTTTTGCCATTATATAATTATATTATATAACCTCTTCATGATACCTTTCAAAGCACCCATAGGTGCAAAGGGATACCTCACAGATAGGGCAGATCGTCCTGGTCATCTTCCGCTTCCCGGCCTTGTAGCACAAGAAGCACCTGCGATACTTCCTGTCAGGCGTCTCTTTTACCATGTGGCGTGTCCTGCCTTGCAATCTGGAAGGGGAAGGTAAGATCGATGGCCTTCCACGAGCACTGTACGGCTCGATTTCAGGGACAAAGGTGTTTATTATGGACATGGCCAGATCTAACCTGAAGTCAATCTGCTCCGACCTGTGCCCCAAGTACTTATAAACAGCATGGCTGTTGACAGTTGCCAGATCATACAAGTAAAAAAAAATCTTTTTATACCACTTCAGTGCCCTGCGCACTGAAGGGTAAGACTGAGCTAGCTGATCACCCAGGTCTACCCCCTTCATCCCGTCGTCGTAAGCAACGAAGCATTCGGGCTTTTCAACAAGGGGGCCTTGATGGCGGCGAACCAGTGCCATTTGTGACCTGCGGACTGTGGATAGCATGTTTACCTGCTTTGTGTCCATCCAGGACAACGCCAGCATACCGGTCGGAGAACTTCTGTAGTCCACATCCCCCCCGCCTGCGGACCTTCAAGTCCCGAGGCATGTGGCGGCGATTTAGCCGGACAGTGCCCACAGCACCAGTCTTCCTGGACTGCAGGTAGTGAAAGAGCACAGGAGACGTATACCAGTTGTCTACAAAGATTGTGTAGCCCTTCCAGTAATAGTCTCCTGCCTCCATCAGATCCACCACCGCCTTCTGCGAGGATGGGAGAGATCCTTGCTCTTTGCTAGTGTAGACCTTGAACACGGCCGTGTATCCCGCACACGGGCCGTCACTGGCAGAGAGCTTGTATACCTTGACCCCGAACCTAGCCCGCTTACTGGGGTTATAGGTCCGGAAGCTCAGGCGACCCCGGAACTTCCATAGCGATTCGTCAATCGCTATATTCCGGTCGGGGACGAAGACCTCTTTGAAGCGATTGCCCAGGATAGTCATTACCTTCCGTAGCTTCCACAGGCGGTCTTCCTCTTTAGGCTCCCCCTCCTGAAAATGGAGGTACCTGCTGATTGCCTCGAACCTCTCACGAGGCATGGTCGAAGGGAAAATCGGCATCGCCACCCCCAGATTTCTCCACCAGTAGAATGTCAACCTGGGCTTCTTGTTGATGCCCATCAACAGGCGTAGGGCCAGGTAGACGGGGAGTTCGGGACTAGTCAGTGGATGCCATCGGTGCCCGTGGCCGTGCTGCTTCATTCGCCTCTGCAAATCTGTCAACAAGCAAATGGAATGCATCAGTTGATGTGGGTACACTTACCACCTTTGGGTATCTGGGAGCGAGGACTAGGGCGAGAGCGGGAGCAGGAGCAAGGGTTAGGGCTAGGGCGAGAGCGGGAGCGAGGGTTAGAGTGAGAGGGAGAGGGAGAGCGGGAGCGAGAGCGAGAGACAGGGCGAGAGCCAGGGCGAGAGCGAGAACTCTGACCTTCCATGGCTGCGATCGTTCTGCTTGAATGAGCCCTTGACGGGTCTTTTATTCACATGACTAACCAATCCACCAATCAAAGCAATTACTAGTTTCCAGCCAGTCAGGTCAAGGTACATCATAAATACGCAATATAGTGTGAACAAATCACATGATTACACGTCATTAATTCATTACGTCATAATTACGTACATCATAATTACTTACGTCACATAATTATCAACCAATCAAGTAAGACTAGCAGCAGAGCCATCTATTAGGTAAAAGAAATAATAAACAGTCAGTCTGTAGTCAGTCATCATGGCAGAAATACATGCCAAACGTTGTGGGGCTCCTAGAAGCCATGGCAAGATTAGATGCCAAGCGTGTTGGGGTCCATTAACCGCATGGCAAGATTAGATGCCAAATGTGGCGAATGGGTTAAGCCAATATTGACAGGGATGTCTTGTACACTCACTCAAAAAAGTATCTTTACTCTTTCTGACTTAACAATGTGATATGATGATGAAAGCAGTTGGAAAAAGTGCTCAACCTGATATCTGAGTTGCCCCCTAAGGAAAACAATTTTTAACTTCTTTACTTTACTCCTATATAGATTGGTTATAGTTGAGAATCCCCTTAAATATTTTTTTCCCCTTTGTATGGTTACATTAAGAAAATATAAGGTTTTTATATGTATAATACTTTTAAAATTTTATGTTATGGCCACCAGCTCAGCAAATGCTGGTGGTACAGATGTACAGAGTGCAATTGCTCTCATGCCAGAATTGCTTTGGCAGTAATGCTATTACAATTGTGGGTATGAACTGGGATTGAGATCTAGCAATTTGGGTTGATGTACTGGATGAGGTAAAATGGCTGTGCTTAGGGAACACCATGGCCCTCACCAATGAAACATCTTGTCCAGGATTTTCATGTAGGCATACCCTGTGAATATGATGGGCCAGAAATCTGTCAACTCCATAACCCCGCTGCTGTGCATTCGCTCAAACAGCCAGCAGTTTTTGACAGCCTTCGTGCTGCAGCAAAATGTGAAGTCCTTCTGGATATTGCCAGTAGAACAAAGGGGTCAGCATCCCTTGCAGTAGTTAAGGATTGTAAATAAAAAAAAAAAAAAAAAAAAAAAAAAAAAAAAAAAAAAAAAAAAAAAAAAAAAAAAAAAAAAAAAAAAAAAAAAAAATATATATATATACATATATATATATATATATATATATATATATATATATATATATATATATATATATATATATATATATATACATATATAACTAAGAAGAAAATTACTAATAGTTAGGGTACATTGCTGGCCATGCCCCTTAAACCCAGTCAGCTGTTAAGATTATTGCCACTGAGTATCAAATGGTTTTCATTAACTCATATGGGACATTGATTTATAGTTTTGAATGACATTTACTTGATCTTCCCCTATCTCAGGTGCTCACTTCTGGCCTAGTCTCTGGAGGATCCAGTTACTTAATGTTGGTGGCTTTGAGATACCTAATCATCTTGATATTTTGGCTCTTGATAGTCCTTCAGAGTAAAGGACAATTATGATGCTACTAATAGCTCTTGAGGTCTCCATTGATAATATTGCCATGCTACGAGGCCCTAGCCATATCAACTCCAAAACACTATTTGAACACATTATAAAGCTTCATCTGTTCTGAGCTTTGAAAATAAGTACAAGCCCTTCTTGACTAATTGACTACTTGGTGGCTAAGCACTTACTGACCCATCCATGTGTAGACATTTCACAAAACAATATGACAGTGAAAACTACATTTTCCTGGTGGCACATGTTAATCCAAATGTGTCAGTTACTACTATAAGAGGGACCCCAGATGGTTCCCGGAGTATTCTGGGAGCTTCCTTTGCCGAAGTGTGTGGCTGATCAGTAGTAATTGATCATGGACTTACTGAAGCAAGCTACAGATATTGGAATTAATTTTTCATGTACTATATTCATCTCTTAACTTTCACATAAAACAATTTGTATTTCCAGGGCATTCAAGATCCCATCAAAGATGAAGGTGTTGTTGTAGCCTCTGGATCAGTGCGCACGACCTGGCCAGATCCTCCCCCCCATGACCAGGTGGCCAAGGTGGCCCGCTACATTGTGCACACCTCAGGTAAGCTTCTTAAGATTTTTAAAAAATTTATATTTTCATTATTTTTCATTGCTTTCTGTTTGCTTATTTTCTTTTCCTTCAATCTCCTTTTTTTCATATAATTTTCCTTTCCCGAAACATCTTTATTTCTTAAATATTTTTTCCTTTCTGTTTATGCAAACCTCTTCCTCTATTTCTTATTGATTCTTTATCCTCATCTTTCTTCATCATTCAGTTCATTATTCCTGTTGTATTTTTGTTTAAGTACTTGTTTCCTATCTATATTTCTCTTTTTCTACCTATCTACTTTTATATTTAAGCTAATTTCAATTTCCTTTGATTATGAATTGAAGATGATGTTTCCTAATTAATATCTTAAACAGAAATTAATACACCTAAGAAATGCCTTCATTGCATAGAACACATAAACCAAAGTTTATAATTTTCTTGAAAAATATTGACATGAAAACTTATTTAACCCATTGCCGCCGGGGTAGATGAATAAAAAATGGGGAAAATGCTGTGCTCATTTTATAATATTTTTCTGTGAAATGTCTCTACACATAGATGGCTCTGCCTTGCCTGATTTCACCTTTCCCTGAATTGGCGGGAAAATGTATTTTTTACTAGAGCTATCAATATCGATGGTGTTATTTTTATTATAAACATTATAATTACTATAATGTTTTAAACATTAGTAATAGCAAAATAAGATAATGTAAAATAGTTTTGTAAATTAAAGAAAAGGGTAAATGGGTGAGACAGGCAGTACTTGTAATTGGCTCATTGGTGATTTAGTACAAGTGTTGCCATCTATGTGTAAAAACATTTAAACAGGTAAACTCACAGTGGGCATGGCAAGGATACATGACATGTCCGTCACGAATGGGTTAAAGCTGTCATGGTAAAAAAGTATGCAGATAGCATGAAATTAGAAAGATGAATTTTGTTGTAGAACTATATAAAAACTTTTTTGCATAAGGTTTAAAGATTAATCCTATATGTGTATAGTGTAACCCCTTGGAACTACAGATCCTCCATGCTGTAACTGATGAATCTTTTTCAAACTTTATCAAGTCATATTTTTGTCTTTGTTGTTTCAATTGGTATATTTTATATATCAGGAAATGTGTTTTGCTATCATATATCAAATATATACTATACAATAGAGAAAGTTGAAGCAAGTTATTGCAATTACCCCACACTTATGAGTGAAAGTGGGAATAGATTACAAAAAATATACAAGTAGGACTTGCCAAAAACTTTTATATGTTTTTTGTATAAATCAATAACATGCATTTATGCATGTATATAGATAGTAAAACCTTACTAAAATACCAGGAAGTACTTCTGTGATATGCAATATTTCATTTTATGGAGAGGTAGTGGAAGAGAGTAAAGGGATAGGGGGTTTGGTTGGATGAAAGGTTCCATACAGAATCCCTATTTCACTCATTAAGTTTCATCTCCAACAAAAAAAGGTGAGAAACATGACTGTATGTTTGGCTCATTGAAAGAAGGCCCAAAAGGGGAATAAGGCAATGGGTGATGTAGTGAGATGGAACTTGTGAGACAGTGCCAGAGCTATTAACCCCTTGGTTAAGGGGTTAATAACTCTGCTCGAAAGCTGGCGTGCAGCCGAATGAGTAGTTTTTTTTTTGTTTTGTACACCCGGCGTCATTGGGTTAATGGACACTACATGTCTCATTCAAGACAAAAAAAAATGCTATGGCAACCTAATAGTTCTTTTGAAGCTTATGTTCTTGTTATGATGCTTTACCTTTTTGAAAAATAATTTTGAGGTTTTGAGATTGTTTAATGCAATTTCTGTCAATCATCTGTTATCACATTTAAATGATTTCCCTCACTTTCAGACTGGGCTACGGTAGCAACTTTCTCCACCCAGAAAGTCACTGAAGGCTTTCCATTTGGCAACATTCTAAGTGTGAGTGATGGTCCAATTGACAAGTCCAGTGGGACCCCATACATGTACCTTACTCCACTGGACTTCACAGCTATTGATCTGGAGGTAAATCTGATTTTACTTGTTGATAGGATTGTTTTCTTCATAATGACTGTCTTGATGGGGCTGTGTGAAGAGTCTAAAAGATAGTCAGCTATATAGAAACTGCTTAGAAGAGTACCAAGTTTATTGCAACTCATCCTAATTTGGTTTAATCCTGAGAGAAAAATCATGTAGGTTACAAGAATTCAAGCAGTCATATTACAATATCATATTGGTAAATGTTACATCAGTTCTGGATATGTACCTGACTAAGTACAAAACTTATCAATGAGAACGATATATATATTCCAAAAATATTGATATGTGTGTGATGGTGAGTATTTATATACTGATTTTTTTCTCATTTATTTGAAGTAGAAATAACAGTATATATATACTATTTGCAGAAAGATAACCGTGCTTCTCTCACAATGAGCGAGGCTCAGTCTGACTACTGCCACAAGAAAGACTTTGACCCAGAGGATCCCCGATGTGCTCGCATTTTAATCACTGGTGAAATTGTGAAGGTGAGAAATCATACTGACAAACATAATAACATATCTTTATTATTTGATTGTTTTTTTCTGTATTAAGAAGATTAGATATGACTTTTAGAACAAGTGAGATTGATGATTTCAGTTCTTGTTATGTGAATGCGGTAGTTTTTTTGGTGTTAAATTTTACCAGAATCACTCGAAGACTTGGAAAATTAGATAATACAGACTCTATTTTGAATTATGAGAAATTGGTGAGTTCTATTCCATGTTCTTATCACATGTTGCCTGCTGATTACCATTAACCCCTTAGTTCCAATTTCTTCACGGCAATCACAGAGCTTAAAATATGGGCATTAGGCTTATGTGAATGGCTGCTCTGCCGTGTGCATGGCTTGTAGGCCAGTGCATGCAGACACTTGCAATGTTGTTTTCTCTTTTTATGAATAAGCATTTTTTGCCATTTTCCAATATTAATATTTGTTATTTGATTTGCATTATCCAGATGGTAATAGACTGATTTCTCTGCACAGATACCATATTATATCTTTAGGTGGTTTGCAGTTCAGAAAAAAAAGAAAAGAAAAAATTGTCAGTTATATTTTTTCATAATATTCAACTTTTTGTAATACAATCTACACTGCTGTTCATAGTACCAGGATTATGATGCTGAGCATATAAATGGCATCTTCCATGGAGCCAATGCTTTTCCAGTCATGGCTCACAGACATTACTTTCCATACTCACTTATTGATGGGAGTAATATAAAATCACAAATACAAACAAGTCTAATCACCCTCCCAGGAGGTTTGTGCACTCGTCATGAGTCTTCCCTGTCACCCTGCCGATGTGCTCACGACAGCAAGTTCACATCACCCTGCTCGCTGCCAGATTTTCCCATGACCACATGTTCTCATCACCTGCCCCTTGAGTCAAGTTTTTTCTTGACATACTCGGGATTGTAGGGGTTAATATCTCATTTGATTGTAACTAAGTGATCGAAATGAATTGTAACCTTACTCTGCCCATTAACCCCTTAATGACTGTATCAGAAATCTCTCAGCATCACTGACTCTGATGACTTCTGGCAACTGTCCTGCCATTTGGCCCGGGAGTCCGTTATTAGTAGCAGAACTTTCCAGTCGACTCGTGACGCCTATAGCCATACCCGTCATGTCGGTTTGTTATGATGGCTATAGGCATGGCCTGGCAGATATGGGTTAATGTATATATGTGAAGATGAGTCCTTTCATATTGTGTAGACATGCTTTTTATTTTTATCTGAAAAAAATATATGAACATTATGTGCATGTCTTGTAAATTCAGCTTAATTTTATTTTTGTGTGACATCACTCCCTTATCTGTGACCTTCAAGCTTACATAATTATTTGGCTCATGGTGATGTATGTGGTGTAGGAGAATCTTGCCATTGGATATATTTGCCGAGTGGTGGGTGATAGGGATGTCTTGCTATGTGTGCACAAAGCTATTTGGGGGAGATAAGATCTAGGAAGGGTTCTTGAATTATTTTAAACAGTAAAGTTGGAGTGTACCATCTGTGAGCCATGGCTGGAAGAGTGCCTCTTTATGCATAGGAACCTACTGGCCATGCATGGTTTGTTATGGAAAATTGAATAATATGAAAATATAAAACAACAATAATAATAACACAATATTGTAATTGCAAAGAGTTTAAACTACCTGCAGGTCTAGAAAGGAGTCTGCTAAACGAAAACCATCTTACCATCTTGATATAATATAAATAAAGTCCTTGGAAAATGGCCAAACAGCAAAAGCATGTCTATAAATAAAAGAGCTTGTTGCATTGTGGCACTGCACATGAATCTTTGCCTACAAGCTACACATCTGGGAGAGTGCCAGTAAAGTAAGCTTAAGGCCTGGATTTTAGTCTGCGTATGAGCTGTAAGGCACTTGGATCCAGTGGATTAAGTGCAGGAGCACTGAAATGAAGGATAAGATGTGGTAACCCACTTGAGTAGCAAGATCTAACCAAGGCAGTAAGTGATATACAGTAGCTTTCAGCTTCATGTCATTGCCTTATATAGGTTTTGGGATATTCACTGATCCCACCAGAATTGTTTTGTTTTTTTGTTTACCTATTATTATTATTATTATTATTATTATTATTATTATTATTATTATTATTATTATTATTTATTGATTATTCTTTTTTATTTATTTATTTTTTTATCTTTATCTTTATCTTTCCCTGGCAACTGGTAGGTAGAATTTTTGTGGTATGTTTGTTGTGGATGGAAGACATTTAGGTACACATATTATTGCAGTATCATGAAGCAGATAAAAATATGATACTGTCTCACTGTTATTAGGGGAGGAGTACCCTAATGGTGCAGATTAAGTTTTGTGTTTGTCACAGTGGAGATTACCTTAGTGAAGAATTACAAATAAATATTTTGTTATTTCATTCACAGGATGTTTTTATACTCTTCTTTTTCATTTGATATCAAAAAGGCACATTTGTGAATTCAAGGGCATATTAACCCATTCGCGCCGCGTGTCACGTATACGTGACATGTCCACTGTGAGTTTACTTGTTTGATTGTTTTTACTCATAGATGGCTACACTTGTACTTGTACTGCCTGTCTCGCCCATTTACCCTTTTCTTTAATTTATGAAAATATTTTACGTTATCTTATTTTGCTATTACTAATGTTCATAACTTTATAGTAATTTTAATATTTATAATAAAAATATCCATCGATATTCATAGTACTAGTAAAAAATACATTTTCCCGCCAAATGAAATCAGGTAAGGCAGAGCTATCTAGTGTAGAGAAATTTCACAAAAAGTATAAAAAATGAGCACAGCATTTTTCCCCATTTTTTGTTCATTTTTACCTGGCGTGAATGGGTTAATCTTTAGGAACACCTTGCCAAAGTCACTGGAACTGTTTACTTGGGGTTGTTGTTAATATCAGAGTTACAGATGTTGGGGAATTACAGCATGTTATCAAGACGAAATACCGGATCCTAAACATTAGGGTTGTTGCGGTAGCTGGCTGGTTACCTGAAGTTCTGTTTCTGAAAATAAATGTAGGTGGTATAATTTCAAAGGAGTTGGCATTTTGTTGTTTAGTGACAGAAGATATGCACATCAACGTGCACATGTTCATATGTACATATACACTTTCTCTCTCTCTCTCTCTCTCTCTCTCTCTCTCTCTCTCTCTCTCTCTCTCTCTCTCTCTCTCTCTCTCTCTCTCTCTCTCTCTCTCTCTCACACACACACACACACACACACACACACACACACACACACACACACACACACACACACACACACACACACACACACACACACACACACACACATATACATACATACATACAGGAAAGGTTTCTCTTAACCGAAATGAAATGCTGAGACAACAAATTTTTAGGATGCTATATTTTAAAAGGAAAATTAGAAGAATTATACTTTAGAGGGAAAATAAAAGGAAAGGAAGGTCGTATTGGTCAATAGAAAATGTACTTGCAATTCCATCCCAAATTAAAAAATGCAAGTGATATATGGAAAATCATGCAAGACTGCAATGACTGGAAGCAAGTAGTTATGTCCCCATTGGAAATGATAATGATAATGATAATGATATGCATACATATAATGCATCTACATATGCAGACTTCTAGAGGAAGTATTTACCCTATATGTATATATTTCTTATATTGTTTTGGTTTGTATAAAAAATAACGGAACTTAATTGTTGCAGGTTGAGAATGGAACAGCTGAGTGGGGCTTTGCTGAAGCTGCAATGTTCTCAAGACATCCAATCATGAAGTCATGGCCTACTGGTATGTATATCAATGTACTTGACTATTATGTGTGACAATTCTAAGTATATGTGAGGGAAAGCGTTTGTTTCAGTAGGATGTAAGAAGTAGATTTGCTTATTAGAATTACAGTTGAAAGTAATTTGTAGAAGTTTTATGAAAGGGATTGTTGAAATCAGGATGTGTTTAAGATTTTTTTTTTTTTTTTCCAGATCACAAATTTTTCTTTGCCAAGATGAATATCATGAATATCTTTGTCCTTGACTTCTTTGGAGGTGCAGCAAAGGTGGACATCAATGAATACTTCAGTGCTGTTATGCCCTAAGCTGGGGTAACATTTTTATCTCTCTCACTGTAACTTCAGTCCAAGATTGGCTTAGAAGTAGCAACAAGATGCAGTGATGATTTTCTGATCAATGGATTTATTAAAGTTATATATAACTTAGTAATCAAATACATTTTAAAAGGTAGTTCTCAGATGCAGTACAGGATGAGATTGGTATAACTCTTCATGTGCATGAGGATGCTTGAATTGCCATTATGTTTTCATATATGAAAATAACTTGTCATGTGACCTGACCTTACTGTCATAAATATGGAATTATGAAAACTTATTTTAACGTGAATTGAACTCAAGCCTCAGAATGTATTGCATGTAGAGATTAGTCTTTAACCTTTTACTCTCTCAGAGCTTAGATTTTATAATAGAATTCGGGGGAGCTTGGAATGTTATTCTCATTATCTATTTTAGAAGTAAACTCCGCTATTGTTATACATGTGATGTATATGATATATATGTGAGTCTTTTCTTCCACTTTAATTATCTACTCGTGGATATATCCCAGTGAGATAAATCTAGTGTCTTGTGTGTTTGATAAAGGAGTCAAGAACACACAGACAATTTTCATTCTTCAAGTGGCACATAAAGGTTTTTAGTATATTTTTATTTTATTATTATTATTATTATTATTATTATTATTATTATGAATTCATCAAGTAAATGTTCTTGCTGATAATGTCTCATAGACAACATGTGGACCAGGTTAGCTCGTGTCATAGCAGATTCTTTCCATAGTTATTTAGTGCTTCTACATATTTGCTGTCTCACCAGGGAAGTTGGAGTAAATGACTTTACAACTATGGAATTAATTATCTGTTATCCTTATGTTATAAATGAAATGTGATATACTGTATATGCTATATAACATACTTTGGTACATGAAAAATAACTGGTAGATATGATGTGTATATTTGGTATATATAAAACAGCATATCTTTGTAATTAATGAACATTTTATAATATGTTGCAAAGCAACATGATCCGAATATTGAAACTTAAGTCTTTCATTCTGAAGTCTGCTTATATTTTTTACAGAATAAATAGGAAGCAGAAATATGTAAATTGTACTACTGTATTGGATATATAGAATTACATATAAAAAATATTTTTATTTTATTTATTTGAAATTTGACATGATGTGTATATTTATTATAGGTGAAAAGTACCCTATAATAAGAATATATTTTTATTTCTATAAAATGTTCACATTTACAATTTTCCTGGTCACAGCAAATGTTCCTATAGGGTTTCTCTGACTTAGGATCACAGTATATGATTTCTTGCGAGTCTTTACTTGAGTCAGTCAAGGAGACCGGATGAAGAACCGACATTATTGGCTGTGACTTCGTATGAGAGTACTTGTGTCTCATTCCTTGATTTTTAATCAAATTTGACATTTATTAGGAATTTTATTTCATTTTGATGATATTTATTCATTTCTGTAAGTGGTATGGAATGAAATTTGTGGTAAAAGATGAATGGTATGTTGAGTGAGTGAGTGAGTGAGTGTGTGTGTGTGTGTGTGTGTGTGTGTGTGTGTGTGTGTGTGTGTGTGTGTGTGTGTGTGTGTGTGTGTGAGTGTGTGAGTGAGTGAGTGAGTGTGTGAGTGTGTGTGTGAGTGTGTGAGTGTGTGTGTGAGTGTGTGTGTGAGTGTGTGTGTGAGTGTGTGTGAGTGTGTGTGTGAGTGTGTGTGTGAGTGTGTGTGTGAGTGTGTGTGTGAGTGTGTGTGTGAGTGTGTGTGTGAGTGTGTGTGTGTGTGTGTGTGTGAGTGTGTGTGTGAGTGTGTGTGTGAGTGTGTGTGTGAGTGTGTGTGTGAGTGAGTGTGTGTGTGAGTGTGTGTGTGAGTGTGAGAGAGAGTGTGAGAGAGAGTGTGAGAGAGAGTGTGAGAGTGAGAGTGTGTGAATTCCACAATATCACCTTTTATTTTTATAACCTAATGAACAAAGGTTGTCCTCCGCATCTCATCCAAATCAAATAGAAAGCTATTATCATTTGCTCATGTGGTTGGTGATACTTTTGCTCATTAATTTTTTCCTCATAAATTTATTGATTTTTTTTTAGGTTTTATTATACTTACATATATCTTTTTGTAAGATAGATGGGTGCTCTGTTTGCTTTGTCATAGGACTATGCATTACTTTTAATGTTTGTTTTTGTTTCCGTTCTAGCTTCATGTGCTTGACATTATTTTTAGGGTTGTGCAAGTTCGGGTGAAAGATGTAATCTCATATCTTCGTGATAGTAGAATAATCATATCTGTGTAAAGCAGGACTTGACAAAATATCAATGCATTTTCTATAAGGCAGTTGTTATAGAAGGAGTATTTAGTAGAATGAAATGGTGCATATGAATAGTATAGATATATGTGGGAAGAATAAAGATGTATGCATATGTTTTTTTGTTTTTTTTTACTTTTCCCTATAAAGACATAAATTGAAATAAAAGGAAAGTTTTGAAATTTTGCTTTATATTGGTGTTTGCTTGATTAAGTATATGTTACTGCTCTCATCACCTTTTTTTTTTTTCTTTTTCACCCTGTTTGACCTCAACACTACTCCCTCTTCGACACGCCCCCGCCCTTCTACTACCCCTATCTCTACAACAATCTTAAATACTCTATTTAGCCCAACCAAATGGGACCGATTTTTCATGATCCCTCCCACAGCTCCCTACTCTGACAACACCCTTCTCTTCCAGCAATGTCTCCAAAAACAAGTAGGCAAAGTCTCTTTCTGTAGCCGACCCGACCGCTCCCGTCTCGTCACAGTAACATCTGAAAACCAAGCTATAGCATTAGCAAAACTAACTGATCTATATGGTAACCCTATCCTTGCAGAACCCCATCCAACCCTCAGTACTTGAACCGGAACTGTTTCTATCTCCCCAGCAAACTGCCCAATCTATGACAAAGTTTGATCAGATTATGGAGAAGACTTACTAGCCTGTCTCCCAGAGGTCATCGTAAGAAACCCACTAACATCGCCAAAATTACTTTCCGTAGACATGACCTTCCCTTAAATGTTTACATAGGTGGAGAATCCCTCCTTGTCCGACCATACCAACCTCCTCGTCAGTGCCAAAATTGTTGGCGTTTAGGACACCCAGCCAAACATTGCCGTTCCACAGCCAGATGCCCACTATGTGCCCAACCTGGCCATACTCGATCAAACTGCTCTGCACAATCATGCACATGTGCCAACTGTGGTGGCCCTCATAATGTATTTTATAGGGGCTGCCCCACCTACAAATTTGAGTCTGAGGTAGCACCTCTAAGATTCAAACTTGGACTCACACTACGTGAAGCCAGACAAGAAGCACGACGACGAGGTTTTTCTCTTAATATCTACTCCAGTAATATTGCTCATTCTACCACTTCCCCTATCTCCCAAGCTCCTACACCCTCTCCTAAACCTACCCCCCCTCCATCTAACTCCCCCTCTTCTACCTCCTACTTCCCCCAGTCAAACTCTTTTGCCATCCTAAATCCAGACACTCCAATCTCTACTACAGACACTCCAATCTCCACTACAACCCCAACGCCTTCCCCTCTCCCTCCCCGCACTACCCGCAACAGACAGAACAAACGTTCCACCTCCTCTTCCCCTACTACACAATCACCTCCACATTCCTTTGCCCCTACTCTTGAGACACTAGTCTTCTCTTCCCTCCCTCACAGGAAATCCTTTATCTCACAAAACTCCCCAACCAACTCCATTGAAGAAACTTGAAAATATTCAAGACTACTTAATGAAAACTGACACTCATCAATCTTCAAATCCTACAAATCCTGCTCCCTCCACACACCAAGTGACTGCCGATATCCCCCCTACATCCTATCCTCCTACCTCCTCCCAACACAGCCCATCCCCCCTGATAAATCTTCCTCCTCCAGGTGTCTCTCTCCTGTTTAAGGTGGTTCAGTCTTCCCAGGTCTTCTGCTACTGTTTCCTTTAGTGTTAGTCCATCTTATTTCTGTTCCTACATCTTTATTTTTCTCATCACAATTCTCTGTCATTCCCCTGGCCTCATGATGAGTCCAAGATATCAAGGTTTTACTTTTGAATGCTTTCTTCTGGAGACATTACTGGTTGATTTAGCTTTGCCATTGACTTGGTCCATGGTATTTTCAACGCTTATTGTCAGCTACACAGATCAAAGGCACTTTCTACCCTTAATATTTCTGCATGGTCTACAATTTGCTGATATATGTCACTGTAGGAAATTCTTGTTATATTGACCAAAATAACAATTGACAGATACATCAAAGTTTGTCAGTACTCTCATCAGATTCTTCAATGTTGTTCCTCTGATGATCCCCCCTGCAGATGCCCCTTGTCTGCCAAATATTACTCCTAGATAGTTATAGTAGTCAACTATCATAATTGCTTTATCATCAAGCTCAAACTCGCTCCTATGTTGTCATTATTTAGGTCTTTGGTATGGTTAATGCAGACTTAGAAGGGCTCAGGCTGTTCTGTCAACTCCATTATTTCCTTCAGGTCTTCAGCACTTTCTGACATCGGGCTTGTGTCATGATCATATCTCAAGTTGCATTTGCTTCCTCCCATCCTAATACCTGCATCATCTTCCTTCAGCACTGCTTTTCACATATCATTAAAGAAGTATGGTGATAAGATCAACAGTTGTTTTGAATTAGTTTTCACATCTCAAGGACCCTCCACAAGATTTTATGGTCACCACAATCTGGCATATTACAAAGCTAGAAAGCAAAAGGGCAATTTCCTGATACTCTGGTAGCTTCCAAAATCCTTCTCAAGCTATATGGAGTTTCTGAACTGCCCTCAGCATGTATGGTTTCAGTCAGTGTCATCTGTTTAAAATTTAGCGATTTTTTGCTTCTATGTGAAATTTATAAAAAATGGTCTGGTGACAAGGACTTTCTTTAGTATCGCTCTTTTTTGGCAGTTGCAGAATCACTGCTCTCTTGCATTGTGTGTGCTGTTCTGATATGACATCATGTTAAAGATCCATATTTTTAACCTGGAGGGATTTGCACTTTTTAAAATGTTCAGAGCTCTTACGGTTCAAAGAAATATCGTACTCTGCTTATTTTCAGCATACTTTGGCTCCAATCAATGTCTAGAATACCACCAAATTTTGTTTTATCTTACAGAATTTTGGGAGTGCTCATAATTGCTTATATTTTAGCAGGGAACTGCATTTTTCCAGTTTCCCCTATGTTTGTCACATTATAATTTGGGGGCTTATGTTTCTCAAGTTCATGATTGAGTGCAAAGATATGTGTGAGTCAGTGCATTCATGCTTAAACTGTTGGGAGGCTCATGTGTAGGCCCTTTAGGTTGATATTATTGACAATGGCACATAAATTCCGATAGAGGATTCGCAGGATGCCATTTACCCAACACACTCGACTCGGTCTTTCCCCCAAGCAAAACACTCTCAACGATCTTCTCCCTGGATTTCGAAGAGAGCCTTAATATTCTGCCTGGATTCTTCAAGGAACACCCTTCCTTATTGCCTTCTGCATAGTAAACCATGAGTGAGACTATTATTCTGCAAAACAAACTAAATCTAGTACCAGATGCCCAACCTGTTGCTTTCCAAGTTAAATTGCATTCGGCAATGCCAAAGCGAACACCTTGATCAGGATCTGATAACTCCAACTAATGATCATGAACGCCTGAAAAAAAAAAAAAAACAAAAACACTGGCTCTACCAAACTATTTCCAATCCCCTCGTTTCGATTTCAGTACTAAGATACTGGGACAAATACAATTTTCTACATCCTCGACCTTGTCAAAGAATTTCATAATTTATTCATGCTTCCCTTTTCCTCTCCTTCTGGGCATTGGGATTATACCGTTATGTACTCTGGACTAAGAAACGCCCCAGTCAGTTTTGCACGATTGATGGTCAAGTTAATGACAATGTGCTCATTCATCCTGGTGGCTTATTAGTATTAGTATTAGCCTACCAAAAGATGTTGCAAAGCTTATCATTGATGCAAAGAAATGCTGCTTCTTAGTCTCATCCCTTGAATTCCTTGTCCACACTCAAACTTCACTTGCAATCTCCCTCGATTATGTGAAGTGAACATATTGCCAAAGACTTGAACAGCTGGCAACACCTGAGGATACGAACCGCAGATGTACAACACAGGACGCCTTGCCTTTCTCCAAAAGAACCCGCCCCGAGTGGATAACCTGACCACATCCGCCGATCTCAAAGCCAACCCTTGCTGTTGTCGCGGGGGGGGGGGGG